TCCTGGAATTTTTAAAAATGCTTTTGGACTTATTCGCCTAGAACCTCTTATCGTGAGTCTTTTTAAATTGGGGCACTCGGCTAGAAGCGCTTCTAGATTTTTATTGTTAAGTATACATGATCCACTATTTTCAAAACTTAGCCATTGTAAATTAGGGCAAGCCTTGCACACTTCAGAAATGTACACATCTGGCTCTATAATTATTTCTCCAATAAATTTTAGTCCTAGTACTTATTCACATGCATTTGACTTCGTATCTTTTATTATTGCCTTAGTAAACTTGATTCCAGAAATACCTGTTAGGACTATTTTTTGCCATAATACTCTTCTAGCAATATTGTACCATCGCTTATTAACAAATAAAAGAGGGTACATTTTGCCTTCATTTTTTTTATGATATTGAAAAATTCGATCGAGAATCTCATTTGGCAAAGATATGTAATAGATGGGTGATTTTTCCGATTTCGGGAATGGCTGAACTATTTCCTCAAAATCAATCCACTTTAGATTCATCACATTTTTTATTGTCACGAGACCTGATTTTGCAATTTTTAGATTACTCTTTCTGCCTACATATCTTTCTATCAGCTGTTCAGTATTTTTATCTGAAATAATAAAACCATCTGTGTGGATACGCTTTAACGATCTCCTAGAGGTCTAATTTTTTCTAATATAGTTTTATGTCCCTTTGCTGTAATAAATGGTGCCATACGTCGATGTGGGCCTGGTTTTCTCCCATCTGAGTATAATCGTCCTCAGAGAGATACTAACATATGCTTGGCTACTTTTCCTGCCTGTTCACCTTCGTTCTTAATTGTTGTAAGATATCTTGCCTATTGATTAAAAATATCATACACGCTCATGAGCTTAGTTTGCTCAAATATTAGAACATTAGGACTTTTAGAGGAAAAATCTATGTGGAGACCTAGATCTATTGCTAATAATAAATCATAGTAAGTGTAATATCCTGTAGGATTATAACGAAATCCTCTTATACATTTTTGTTCTGCTGGTTGACATCTTATGAAAGCACGATAAATTCCATATTCCAAACCATAGCCAATATGTTTTGTACTAATATGTGAGATTGTTTTAAATTCATCTGCTCTTACTGGCCAACCTGTTATATAACCATAAGCTAAGATATTTGGATAAAATTCATTAAAATCTAATTCAGTCGCGATTCCTTCATATGGCTCAGCCTATACTAACTCTCCCATGTAGGCCAAATTAATCCAATGATCTTCTTCTTGTGTTAAGTCTTCTGCTTTTCTAGGAGCTAAAGTGACATCTTGAAAGAAACGCAAACTTGCCATAGCATATGTACCAGATTTTCATAGATCAATCTGTCCTCTACTCTGCCATGCAATTGCACTAGCTTCTTCATTATAGCGTTTATGGGATTCCTGAAGTGTTTCATTTGGATTTACTTTGATTAGAAATCAGTCTTGAGATAAATCTCAAAAATTACTTTCGGAGTCAGTCTATTGTATACTTCCATCATAAAACTCAACATCATTACCTTCCTTTTTCCAGAATAGAAATCTCTGAATTGCTGAATACTACATTGTTTTCGTATTTGAATATTTTGGTAGGTTAAAGTAGTCTCATAGTCGCTTTTCCCCTCTGACTCCACCTCTGGCTCTTCTTCTGGTACTGGTAATTCGGAAGGCTTGGGTAACTCAGGTGGTGTCAGGTCTCCCCAAAAGTTTCCGAATAATTGTCCTAATGCACCGGTTATACTACCTAGTATTCCGCTCATTTTTTCTCAAAGAGTATATATGGTTACAAAAAGTTTAAAATGAAAATTAATTTATTCAGATAATTAGAGTTACATATTTATTCAAAAAAAGAAACTATGGGAGGATTTTATTGTTGCCCTATATTCTACGAAGTGGTGCAATTTGCAATAAAGAATGTTATCACCCAAATGAATGCAAAGTTTACCGGAATTCTCCTAGACAAATCCCTTATATAGAATGCGGAAAATTAACTTCCTCTATTTATAAAGCCTGTAGAGAGCATGCAGGTAAATTTCATAATCGCACTTTACCTTGAATAATAATCAAAGTTCATATATTAGATAATGCAATCAAGGAATCTCAAAGAACTTGAGGTGAAAAGTAATTAAGTGAATTTCAAATAGTAACTTTAACATATATAAATATTTTGTATTAGTTAGCTTTTTCAAGAGTTCTTTTGTCTTCTTATCAGGCATGATAAAATCATCACCTTTTAATTGGAAAAGAATGCAATCATTGTATCTGTTTATAACAGCACTGATATTTTTTAGGTTATCAGATACAAAGTTTGGTTCTTTTCTAGAAATATATTTGATGAGCTATAAATTATTTATTCATATTTTACAATAAGTTTGACAATTTTAAAAATTTTAATGCTTAAAATATACGAATTCATCTTGTTTTAATTTCCTTACATATTTTTATTACACGAGTTGAAACCAATCAAAAATTACAATATATAAAATTTACAATCAAAATGCATTATAACAGATGCAAACTTTAATGCTGATTGTTAATACAGGTTAGTTTAAAGTTCTGAATTAAAAATCTCGAATGATCCCTGATATAATTTTTTTTTAATTTTCATCATATATTTTTGACTAACCTCATATATTATTCTTAAAATGTCCAACTATATTAATAATATTAATTAAGCTATTATGTTACTAGATTGCGAAAGAAAAATATTTAAGAAAAAGTTAGATTATTTTTAAAAAAAAATAAATTAAATATATTTACATTAACAAATACCAGAAGCAAAGAAATTATCCTTATTTGTTATTTAAATAGTATAATCTCTATAGATGTGATATGATTCTTATGAAATTGAAAGGATTAATCTATGGATTAATTTATAATTCGAAATTATGAAAAAAAATATATTCTTATCCAACTTTGAGAAATCATTTGATGCTTATCAAAAAATAATCCAAGGTTAAACCTGAAACTTTTGATTAGAATAGTATCTCGATTTTTATTTCTTCTAAATAAATTTTTAGGTTCAAATGATGAATTAATTATAAGTGAAATAAAATATAATGTCCAAAGTTCATGTAAATCATAGATTATTATCAGCGCAGTAATTGGGTGAAATATCATAACTTATCCATTACCTGAAATAGATTTTTTTGGAAATTTTTTTTTTGCTGTAATTCTATACACAAAAATATAACACAAAAATGTAAAACAAAAGGAAAAATAATTAATAAAAGATTAGCAAATTTCAATGAAATTAAGTTTTATAAAAAGAATATTTTATATTTAATATATCATAAATAATGACTATATAAAATTCAAATTCGAATTTTCATAAGGTGCATTACTGAAATAGCCAAATATGTATTGATTGATAAAGATCTGTACAAGTTTTAAATTTATAAAAAAAAATGAGTAAACGAATAGACTAGTACAATGTAATCAATATGATAAAAGTAAACACGAAATTCTTGGATACCTGATCTTTAATGTCAAAGCTTTCACAGACAGCTTTCTTCCAGTAGATATTATGTATACCTACAAATTGATACCAGCTGTTCCTTTCATCATCCCAACTTCTTTAACTACTTCTCTAATATATTCGAAAATTCATTGATCAAGAGACTGGTCCTTGGTAAAACTATTGAAATAAATGACGCCCACAGATAAAGTTATCATCAATATTTTTTATTGGCTGGTCAAAACATGATCAAAATTGATATCGATAACTTTAATATAATACCGTTACCACCTTCGTGAAAATCTCTAACATAAGAATCTAAAAAGGTTTTTCAGGCAAAAGGAAATATCTATGAATAAACTACATTATTCACATGAACATATCATAAACGATAAAAATTCATACCCTCTAGCAAGGAAAGAGTCATATCTCGTTTAAGTTCCTTGGTTTCCATAATTTTCAATCTATAGCACCTCAGCCTAGAGTTTCATTTAACAAAAAAGAAAGTCATAAATGCATCACGTGTTATGTAAAAAATTATGACTTTTCATTATTGAAAAAACGATTGATAAAATGACCTGAACCAATGTCCAATTAACATTTTTAAACTTACAAAAATTTTTAGTAACACTATCAGCGAGTACGACATATAAGACTTGACTTCAGATCTTTAACAATATGTCCATCGTTGTACATGGTCCATCGTTGATTAGCAGATAGATTAGGACTTTTTCGATGGTAAAAGATAAGACAAGACGGTTATCAAAATTTTATGAAATGAGGAAATAAATATAAGTAAACTTCACTATTTGTAAAGCAACAACAGTTTTTGTTCTTTCTTTATTTCCACCCTAAATCGCGAGCAATATGTTGCATTATTTATTTGAAAATTAAAAAATGAAATATATAACGAAAATAATAAGCGTTATGAATAAAAAAGAAGAAATCGGTAAGTAATGGGAGTAAAAGATTTATTTCTTTTTTTTATTACATTAATTTTAATACGTAAATAAATGTAAAAGAACTAAAGCTAAAAATAGTTTTAAATTCAAGAAGCGAATTAAAAAATTGACATTGAATACCTGCTTGTAACTTGCTTCAGAGGTTATGAACCAGGGTAGTTAAAGCTTACTCCCGTGTTCTGATAACTAACCCAACCAGAATTATAGAGGGATCTTTAGCATTTGCAGGGATGGACTACCTCGATACAGAAACTCGTTATCAAACCAACACCCAATATATTGCACATTGCGGGAGTCGTACCCGAGTATAGCTGGCTAAGAAATCTCGCGCACTATCCCACAATGACAATAAGAAGTTATAATTATTTAATTTCTGAATCTTTTAATTGATTAAACATGTGATAGAGTAAAGAAATTTATTGACACGATTATGGTTTTTACACAATTATATTTTTTTTTTGCTTTTTTAAATAGTTTTACACCTTTTTATACTGTTATCAACTTGGTTGATTTATTTTATAATTATAATTTACTAGTAGAAGTAGTAGTGTCATTTATATATCTGAGCAAAAAAAAAAAGATAATTATTTTATTCTCTATAAATATTTCAGTATTGCTTTATTAATAAATATACCGCAAAATGTTTTAAAACTAGATTTAAGAATAAATACTTATTCAATCAATTTTAAATTTGTTTATTCTTATTTAAATGTTTTCATAACTTTTATTTTATTTTATCAATTTCAAAAGAATGGCAAAAAATGAGATAAATAATTAGAT